ACACACCCATCACACTGCGCACACACACACACACACACACACATCACACTGCACACACCCATCACACTGCGCACACACACACACACACATCACACTGCACACACACATCACACTGCACACACACATCAGACACACACACACACACATCACACTGCACACACACATCACACTGCACACACACATCACACTGCAGTGCACACACACATCAGACACACACACACACACACACACACACACATCACACTGCACACACACATCACACTGCACACACACATCACATTCTGATCTGATTGGTTATAAGGTAGTCTGTGACGTCAGAAACACCAGCGATTTTGAACGGTGTTCTGCGAGCGAAATCGAACAGCGAACTGGTGTGACGTCATTTCTGCTTAAAACTGCAGTGAAGCAAAGACAGGCTCAAACACACGGGGTGAAATGGCGGGTGTCTCTGACGTCAGCAGTGCTGTCCTGCCTTTAATGATGACGGGCCAGGGAACCGTTTGGTCCTCGCGACCCCATGCCACGCTGACCTCCACCTCACGCCTGCTTCATCCCGACCCCAGAGCACTTCAGTCCCATCATGCCTCGGGCCCCGTGTGCTCACGACAGGCACTTCAGCCCGCAATCAATACAGCAGAACTGCTCAATGTCCACCGGGGGAAAGCAGAGGTATTTGATTGCCTCTTCAGCTCAATTCCCTTGTCTGTGTGTGTGTGTGTGTGTGTGTGACTTATTTTATTCATTCATTCAGTTATACTTGGTGTTTTTACCATGTGAATACAGATTCACTGCTGTTTCACTGTGTTGGAGAACGCTGTTTCGTGTGCGTGCGTGCGAGTGTGTGTGTGCGTGTGTGTGTGTGTGACTTGTTTTATTCATTCATTCAGTTATACTTGGTGTTTTTACCATGTGAATACAGATTCACTGCTGTTTCACTGTGTTGGAGAACACAGTTTCGTGTGTGTGTGTGTGTGTGACATTTCTATTCAGTTATACTTGGTGTTTTTACCATGTGAAAACAGATTCACTGTAGTTTCATGTTGGAGAACACAGTTTCATGCATGCGTGTGTGTGTGTGTGTGTGTGTGTGTGTGTGTGTGTGTGTGTGTGTGTGTGTGACTTATTTTATTCATTCATTCAGTTATACTTGGTGTTTTTACCATGTGAATACAGATTCACTGCTGTTTCACTGTGTTGGAGAACACAGTTTCGTGTGTGTGTGTGTGTGGCTAATCAGTCTGGTGACACACCTGAGCAATACTCCTGCCCCTCTGGGTGTCATGCATTATAAATCAAAAGACTGTATTTGCATGCATTGTTATTATTAATCACGCATCTCAAGTTGGAGAAAGGAAACCGGGGTTCAGGAAAATGCTAACGAGTCGAGCTGACTGTGGATTTTCTATTGTTTGTCTGGACTCTGGGCATAAATAAACATGTTTTTGTTAATTATTGATTAGGGACCCAGGGGCATAAACACAGGGCTTACAGTGAAGATGTACGGTCCCTCGGTTCATCTTCGTGAATAGAAAACCAAATGATCTCAAGAGGAGACGGGAATTATTTTAGTGTATTTTTGACAAACACAAGACTTCCATTAAAAGCGTAAGATTCTGCCGTAAAATCACACTCAGACTCTAAAGTTTTGCCATGATGACTGACAGGGTGCGATTTGTAAAAACAATATTTGAACGAGAATGTCATCGTTGAAATTTTAATGTTATTTAAAGGATAATTTCACCAAAAAATGAAAACATGTCATTATTACTCTCCCTCATGTCGTTCCAAACCTGTAAGACTTTCATTCATATACATTTGCTGATATAAAAGTATGTTGATAATTTTTTTTACCATATTTATGGAAGGGCCAGTAAAAATGCTGACAGGAAAAGTAAGAATCTTTAATATTAAATCCTGTGTTGTCAGTAATGTCTATTATTTGGCTATTTTTAATCATTGTTTTCATTTATATGGACTGTTAGGCCATGAGATGGGACCCCAAATTTGGGCTACCGGTACCATTTTGAGGGATTAAATTTCTTTTTGATTTTCATGAAGGTACACACATCTAGTGTTGGAAAATGTGTCATAGCGTCCGATCCTTGGTAGCTTTCATTAGAAATCAACACTTATATCATCCTACCTCAAGGTAAGGTGTTCAGTGACTACAAGAGAGAAAAATGTACCTTTAATAATTTAAAAAATTTATAAAAATCTATACAATTTTATACAATTTTATACAAATTTTATAAAAAAATTATAAAAATTATAAAAAAATTTATACATTTTTATAATTTTTTTTATAAAATTTTAAATTTATTTAAAGATAAATTCATTTATCCTTTTTCTTGACATATGTTTGAAAATCGTCCTCCGTAACCAAAAACTACCTTGAATCTAATGCTATCACACATTTTTCAAATACAGGGTCATATACCTACACAAAAATCACCATGTGGTTTAATCCCTCAAAATGGTACCAATCAACCCTCTGTCTCAC